CGTGCCTCCCTTTCCTCATCTACCTATTAGGACTAACATTTAATAGGGTTACTCAGGCTTAAAGGAGTTAAATGTAGAAGAATATCTTCGGCCTTGGTGGTGGACACAAGTTTCTTAGAGTTAATATGTATGAAGTGCTGGGAATAACATTTGGCACATAATAAATGCTATTAAACATTAGCCATTTTTTTCCTCCACTTAGCAGAGTGGCACAGAGGAAGCTGCTGGGCCCATATTTTTCTCCACAAACAGGAGTTATGCCCTCACCCGCCCTCCCATAACTTGTAGAAGCAGCAAAAGGCAGTTTGGTTTTGAATTACCTATTTGTAGTTCTGTCTAAAATGCCAGAAGAAAATATTTCGCTGTGTTGGAGGTGGGATATGGTGTTTATTTTTCCTGTTATTTTCAAGTTTTCCAAATTTTGTATATTGAGCATTTGTTAGTTTTGCAACTGTGGAAAAATGCATTTTTTTTTCCAAAGTCAAGTTAAACCTGGTGGGACAATAATGGTATGGGTTCGTAAAAAAGCATTTCTCTGCTTGGTGAGTGGATTAAACTCCCAAGACCTGGGCTCCTTGGGAAATGGGTGGACCTTAAAAATTAATGATTCCCTGCTGTTTGAATTTCATCTGTGATTATTTATTGCTATTTAGACTTGCCATTTCAGCATCTTGAAAAGAAACCAAGAGAAATTAAAGTGCCTGACTCCATTTTTCCTACAAAGCAAATGGTTCTGAAATTTTCCCTTTCGATTCCTAGATTTTAAGAGGTTTAGCCTACTTCCTGCCCCTAATTGCTCTATTAATTTAATCTGTGCATAGTCTCCCAAGAGTGTAAATCATTGGTCTTCAGGTCTGGTTCTAGCTGGTTCTGGCTGCTCTAGTGTCTGTCACTGTGTTTCACTGAGCTGTTTTACATGTTACCCTGAATCCTCTTTTGCTGGATTTCTCCTTCCAAGAGCGTTTCTCCTAACCTAGTTTAATGAACTCTGGTATTTGCGTGAAGTTGCACATTTAGTGAAATGATGTGGACTTTCTCTTTTTCTGCAGTTGAGACCGGAAGCTACTCATTTGTCCTAATTTTCTGGTTTTAGTTCTGGATCATTTCTCTTAGGGGCACCTAGAAGATCATGTTTATCTAGTACAAATCAGTTCTCTGCATAAAAAGCAGACCCTAAGCAAGTTAGTTCACTGTCATTTCCTCATCTGTAAAGTGGGATTAAAAGCATTATTTATTAGTTTCTGGCGCCTCTGAAACACATCACCCACAAACTTGGTAGAAGCAAGCAGTAGAAATCTCCCTGTTGGCAGTCATGCCCTGTTTTACAGACAAACAGAGGCTTTGGAAGTTTAAAGGGACTGGTAGGAGAAGCAGAGTTGAGGCTCAAACCCAGGTTTTTGTGCCTCCAGAGACTTTCCATTTTCCAGTGGACTTGGTTACCTCAGTATGGGGTTTCTTTTTTTCTTCTCTGCTGTGACCCAGCACCTCCCCTCACCCCTACCACACTTTGTGCTTTGATCCAGAATTATGTTTGGTGTGAAGATTTAGCAGTGGAGAAAGAGAGGAGACAAATCTGAGTTTCCACCCCTACTTGAGTGTCCCTGTGACATGACCGCTGGCTGCCCAGGAGGGCCTGAGGAGAGGAAGTCATAATTCCTTTTATGTGCGCACCTGGGAAGCCATGCCACTTCCTCCACCTACACCACACTTGATTCATTGAAGGCGTCGCTACTTTTAGCCACACTAAGGGGAGGAAAACTAGGTACCACCTTTTGAAAATGATATATTAGAGACCCTGAGGACCTGTTTAGAGACTACCACACTACCCCCTGGGAGGCAGATGGCTTTTGTCTAAGAACTTAATCTGACTATTAAGTCAGGTCTTTAGCTATATAAAGGGGGATTTAGGGGCAAGGGGCTCAGGAGTGCTAAATTGTTCCACATAAACAATTGGGAAGAATGTGAATTTTAGCTCAAAAGAAGGGACATGAGGAGGGGAGAGCGGGAGCATGTGCCTGGCAGCTTGTACTCATTCTACTAGTGAGAACAGGTCTCACTAGGATGATATTTGCTGTGTGTGCCTCAAGTATAAGACCACCATTTTACCAAATCTCAACCCCTCCCCCTGTATTCTCCCCACACACACACCTGTGTGAGAGGCTTTTCATGTGATTGTGGAAAGGGATGGATTTCAAGTCTGACATGATAGCTTCTTAGCAGACTATACTTGATGCCAGCAAGCTGATCCTCAAATTGACCCTAAATTATAGACTCAGATGCTGGGGGCCATGAGACCCCAGAGAAAGTTCAGAAATCTTGGAAGGAAGGGTCATTTTGATGAGCCTGGAAAGGAGTGCAATCTCAGAAAGCAGAGTGGCCCAGGCCAGGGTGCCAGCCATGGGGCTGTTAATGCACCAGGCACAGGAGAGTAAGGATGCTGCACCTAGAGAGGCAGAGCCCCTCCTCATATCCAAAAGCAGCCTTCGGGCAAAAGGAAGTCCTCATCATCTTCTCTGCCAACATAGAGGAGAGGTATTAGCTCTTTGGGGTTAATTTTGCTATTAAACTGTGTTTGGAGAATTCAATGTTTTTCTGATTAAAATCCCAAGATTTTTTTGCAATTATTTTCAGTATTTCATTGCTTTCCTCTTCAACAATAAATGGCAATTTGGGGATGGGAGTATTTGTGAACTTCAGACTTAATTAAGCCTAAAAAATAAATTTAATGTCACCCCACTTCAGGCTTGCCCTCAGCTTTGTTGTGCTACATGTGCTACTGGATTTGTACATCTTTTGAAAAACTTAGCTTCCTATAGAAAAATCTCCTCAAAGGAAGACTTTCCATGATATTTTATTTATTTACTTTTTTAAAGATTTATTTATTTATACAAGCACTGGGTACAGTCAGAAACACGGGAGGATGAGAGAATTCATCAGAGCCAGAGAGGGGAACAGAACAGGCAGACTGATGAAATACACTGCTGAGGGGAGCAGTGGTCGTGGCAGGAGAGGTCTGTGGCGCCATGTGGGACCCTCACCAGTGGCCGGTGATCAAACCGGCACTGTAGAGGCTGTGGGCAGCTTCGCAGCCCAGTGCTCAATCGCTGTGCCACCAGGGGAGGCCCTGCTCAGCTATTTTAAAAGGATGAGATTGTGCCTTTTGGGATAAAATGAACCCATCTTAAGGTGATTATGCTAAGTGAAATAAGTCAGAAAATGAAAGACAGTTACCAGGTGGTTTCACACATTTGCAGAATATAAATAATCAAAGAAAACAAACAGGCACAAGAATAAGAATAATGTATAGACTGTGAAAAATATACTGGTCACCAGAGAAAGAAGGCGAGAGGGAGGAAATGAAGTGTATACTCACCCTGGAGTTTTGGTGGATGGTGAGGCAGGAACACATATGGAAGTCTTGAATTTCCTGGTACCTTATTCATTTTGATCAGGGTTCAAGAGGGGAGCGGTGGCAGTTCCCAGGATAGAATTTGGGGGAAACTTGGGGAAGATGGCTGGTGCATTTCTCCAACCTCTGTACACACATTTAGGCTCGTGTTTTATTCCTAGTTTGCTGTATAAATCCTTTTTCCTCTCACTGTTTTCTTTTGTAATTTGATTGTGTTTTAAGTAGTGTTGTTTGATTTCTTTCTCCTCTTAAATTTTTTTAAAATTTTGATATAGTTCACATATGACATTAGTTTCAAGTATAATACATAGTGAGTCAATATTTGTATACATTGCAAAATGATCACCACAATAAGTCAAATTAACATCTGTTGCCATATAGTTAGAAAAAAATCTTTGTCTTGTGATAACTTTGTTTATGCATATACACATATTAAGGCTAGTATATTTTAAAAACATTTATTTATTTATGCACACAAGAACTGGGGTAAGGGCCTCCCTGGTGGTGCAAGGGGTTAAGACACAACCTATGAAGATGTCCGCAGTCACTGAAGCACAAGTTCGATCCCCAGCAGGCCAGGGAGCAACCCACATGACACAGCAGACCTCTCCTGTCTCACCCGCTGCTCCCCTCAGCAGTGTACTTCCGGTCAGTCTACCTGTTCTGTTCCCCACTCAGTCTCTGGTGAATGCTCTCACCCCCAACACCTCTGACCCGTACCCCAGCTCTTGTATGCATAAATAAATAAATTTAAAAAAAAAGAACTGGGGTATAGGCCAGAGGTGCAGGAAGGATGAGAGTATTCACCAGAGACAGCGTGGTGAGCAGACTGACTGAAATACACTGCTGAGGGGAGCAGCGGGTGAGTCAGGAGAGGTCTGCTGCGCCATGTGGGCCACCTTCCTGCCTGGGGATCAAAGTCATGCTGCAGAGGCTGCTGATAGCTTCGTGGAGCTGTGCTCAACCCCTTGTGCCACCAGGGAGGCCCCAAGGCTAGTATTTTTAAAGGGATCCTTCCCTGTGACACTGAATTAGATAGTATTCTAAACCCCTTCTCTTTTCTGTACATTTTGATTCCCCACATAGGTGTTGAATTCCATGAGAGCAGTTGTAGATTTTCTTTCTCAAGCCGGTGCGACAGTCCAGCTTGGTCTGACCCTCCTGCCACACCTCACTGCTAACCCTTCCCCAAATTCAGCTCACATCTCCTACCTCCAGACTTAGTACATTTGCCCAGTTCCTTGGAGGTGTCAGCTGTTTACTGGGGAGCATGTTTACTGGGTAAGATCTAGAGAAACTTATTGCAAATATCCCATTCCACAGGCCTTGGAAAGCCCAGTGTCCTCTTTAAGACTTCTGCAAATTCCCAGAGGACTTAAGTTCCGAGTTCTTTTTCTGACCTGTATTTGTGAATTAATTCAGCTTAGGACTCATCCTGCTAAACCCAAATGTGAGACTCAGCCCTTACCTTATTTCCTGTAAATCCACTCTGTCACATCATTGTGTATATAGCAGACTTATTTTTACTAAAAATTCAGGAAGACGGAAGGACTTGTATTGCAGAAAATTAAACAAATAAACATTAGTCATCCTTTATTGCCTATTCGGTTATGTTATTACAAACATCCCTCAGCCATTTCTGCTGCCTTCTGCCAGGTTATATAATCTGCTCTCCATCTTCATTCCTCTTTCTTGCTTCTTTTCCTTTCTCCTAGGAAAAAACAAAACACAAAACTCATCACCACCACTACACACACACACACATACACACACACAAACACGTACACACACACAAATTCCTTCCATCTTTCAGGCCTCCCGTACATATTCAAGGGACTCACCAAAGTTTTGAAATTACCCCTCTAGGAAGGTATCTTCTTAAGTTCTTAAATTCTAAGACAAATGAACCCTAATTTTTTTCTGGCTATTTGTAGAGGATTGTGGTGATGGATTAGTTTTCCAGTTACTGTGAATCTCAGTTTTCCCATCCAAAAAAATGAGGATATGAAAGCACTAGCTTCCTGGATCCTATGTGTAAGTAAATGCGTAAGGCACTTAACACTGTGCTTGGCACATAATCCACAGATAAATATTGCCTTGTTCCCTTTCTTCCTGTCCACCGAGGTCATGCTCAGACTTTCTGTCCCAAGTTAGATGCCAGCACCCCTATAGAGACTTTTGTGCTTTCCCAGCTAAAGCTAATCATTCCCTCCAATCTTTGCTCTGGAGTTCTTGTGGCACTGGGTTTGCACTTCCCATCAGGCAAAGAGGAATGCAGAGATGAATAAAACAAGACCCTAAATGAGCTTACAATCTGGAGGTAAAGATAGACATGGGTGTATAGAGAGGGAATGCTCCGAAGGAGCTAGGAAGGAAGAACAAAGAGGTAAATTAGACAGGTCCAAGATTTTAAATTAAAAAGCAGAAATTCTATCCTGTTGCGGGAACTGTCAGCCCAAATACCAGTCAATTTTTCATCTGTTGCAGATTTTCCCACAGTGCAATTGTCGGGCTGGCCACCACTATATTGTGTTGATTATTTCAACATGTGTTTATCAGTCTGGGTTTGATCAGGGAAGCAGAGCCACTGTGGCTTATGGGATAAGGACTTATTAAAGGAGCTGGACCTACACAATTTTGGGAAGATCTGGGGAAGATAAAGTCTGGAAAGAGGAGTTGAAGAATCAGAGAAAATTGCTGACCAGCACTGGATAACTGGGAAATCTGGAGCCCAGTCATGTCCAATTGCTGGAGTAGGATTGGGAGGGAGGCTGGAGTAAAGTCTAGGGGAAACTGTTGGCTGTTCTGTGTGCTATTCACAGCGCAGCGTTGCTGGCAGGCCTGGGGTTGCTGCTACTGGCAGAATAGGCAGACAGGAAGGAGAGCCAGCCGGACGCAGCGTGGGGAAGAGTGAGGGCAAAATGGAACCTACTGGCACTTCTGAGTCTACCTTGTGCCACATTTCACTAATGATAATCTTTGGACTATAATGAGGCCTGCTTCATTTCTGTATCTGAAATTTCACATAATCTCTCTTTTAGCTAATTCAACCCAGTATCACACAGAGAAAGGAATTCTAGGAAATACAATTCCCAGTAGAACAATTCAGCACAACATTCATGATGAGTCTCAGTATTTTCAAATTGGATAAATAACAGATCACTAATATCTATTTCTTGGAACAAAAATAAAAAAATATTAGGAGGAAAAAGTTACAGGATATGGGTAAACTACAGGGTCAAAATTTTAGAACAGACAGTCCACAATGAGACATATACATATGTGGATATATAATAGATGAAGCTTCTGCAGAACAATGGGGAAAGGACAATCTTTTCAAATAGATGGTGCTGAGCCACCTAGATATCCAAAAGTAATATACCTGCCTTACCGCATATATAAACATCAAGCCCAAGCACATTATAGAACTAAATCTGATAGGCAAGTCAGATAAAATGCAGACTATGTCTATGACTTTGAAGTTGGGTAAGATTTCATGGATTACTGATCTTCTTGGAGAAGATGCAGAACAGTTGTAAAATACAGTTTTTGGTTAGAGTGTAAATTAAGTCAACCTCTTTGTAAAACTGGTAGGGTTTACAGAAGTTGAATGTATTCATACCTTATATCCTAGCATTTCACTTCTAAATTGTACCCAATATTAATGTATGCTGATATACCAAAAGACTTATATAAGAAGGTTCTTGACTGCTTTGTTAATAGTTAAAATCAGAATGCAAGCTACATGTCCATCAACGGTAGAGCAAATAAACAAATTTGGTACATTCATACTATGGAATACTATGCAGTAGTGAAAATGAACGAATTGCTGTTACATGCAATAGTACTGATTAACGTCATAGACATACTTTTGAGCAAAGCCAGGCATGATTGAATATACAGTGTATGATTATATATAAACCTCAAAATGGGCAAAAACTAATGATATTAGAAATCAGGATAGTGGTTTTCTTTCCATGTGACAGTTAATGACAGAGGTTTATTAACAGGCTTTAAATATGCTGGAAATCATCAAATTAAAGAGCTTCAGTACAGCAAAAGAGACAGTAACCAAAACAAAGAGACACCCCACTGACTAGGAGAAAATTTTTGCACACAACACTAATGATAAAGGACTGATCACAAAAATCTACAAAGAGCTGACGAGACTCAACAAAAACAAAGTAAATAACTCAGTCAAAAAATGGGCAGAAGAGCTAAAAAGAAACTTCTCCAAAGAGGAAATGCAAATGGCCAACAGGCATATGAAAAATGTTCAACATCACTTGTAATCAGGGAAATTCAAATCAAAACTACAATGAGATACCATCTTACACCATTGAGAATGGCACATATTAAAAAAACTAGCAACAACAAATGTTGGCGAGGGTGTGGAGAAAAAGGAACTCTCCTGCACTGTTGGTGGGAGTGCAAACTGGTCCAACCACTATGGAGAGCTGTGTGGAGATTTCTGGACCTACTAAACATAGAGCTTCCATATGATCCAGCAATTCCACTCCTAGGTATTTACCCAAAGGACACAGAAACATCAATTCCAAAGAGCACCCGCACCCCTATGTTTATAGCAGCACTATTTATAATAGCTAAGCTTTGGAAACAACCCAAATGCCCAAAAATAGATGACTGGATCAAGAAGATGTGGTACATATACACCATGGAATATTACTCAGCATTCAAAAAAGATAAACACATGCAATTTGCAGCAACATGGATGGAGCTGGAAGGGATCATGCTCAGCGAAATAAGCCAGAAAGAAAAAGAAAAATACCGGATGGTCTCACTCATAGCAGGAATCTAGAAAACTTAAATAAGGGACCAGGAAAAATACTAATTATAATAAAGTAAAAATCAAAATCAACAAGCAACTGTAAACCAGAGACACACTACAGGGGTGGGGAGAGGAAGGAATAGGATCAAAAAAAGGGGGGTGGGAATTGTATAGGGACTATAACCAAGATGAAAATGCATACATTGTGCAAAAATGAAAAATGATGTAAAAAATATATAAAATGAAAAAAAAAGTAAAAATGTAAAAAAAAAAAAAAAAAGATAACCTAAATAAAGAAATGCTTTGGGGAAAAAAATTTAAATTAAAAAAAATATGCTGGAAATATTCTGGGTTTTTATCTGGAAGGTGGTTATAATCTGTGATAATTTATTAAGCTATGCATGTATAACATATTTCATTTATTCTGTACTTCAATATTTTAAAAACTTATTTTATCCATCATCAGTTGTCACACATCTGCCGGTCTTTTTATTACTTCTCAACCTGTATTATTGCTCTTATTTTATTTCCTACTCTCTTACTCTAAAAATGTTTTCCTTTCATAAGCCTTACTTACGTTGGACCCCTAACTTCATTACTCAACAAATACCTTCTTGAGTATCAATGCTAGTCACTGAGCGAGGCCCAGAGATTGCGACGGTGAATGAGCTCTCAAGGCCCCTGCTCTCATAGAGGTCTAGCTTCCTTTGGACAGAGGCTTCTAAATAGGTCATTCCATCATAAAAACTCCTTCCTGCCTCCCAAAATTTAGGTCTTCCCCCAAATTATAGATTAAAGTCAGCTTCTCCAAATCTGCTATTAGTTCATGAAGGACCCCATCCCTCCCCACATCATAGCTGTGTAAGATCTCAGTATCCATATTGACAGTTTTTTCCATCCCACATCTTGTAGATCTACCTCAGCCTGCCCATTTCTACTTTTGAAATGTGCACACCCGCTCCCCCTTCTTTCCAGCCCTTACCCATCAGGTCAGTCGAAATGAAACCATCCAAGTTTGGAGTCTCTCCTCTTTCTATTGCTGCACCAGTGAGGGTTCATTTTCAGAAATAAAAGCCACTCAAGCTAGTTGGAGCGGGACTCTGCTTAGTGGTTAGCACACTGTGGAAAGATCTGGGGAAGACATTTGAAGCAGAGCTTCTAGCCACAATACCCCTCTTGCAACCCTACCTCTGTCAAAAATTGGAAAGCCACACTGCCATGGTAGAATTCCCTGAGGCAGGAAGCAAGAGACCCCAGCACCATGTGTGTTAGTTTCCGGCCAGCCTTGGTTGGAATGGATGTTGCATAAGCCAGACTTCAGTGCCCCCTCACCTCCCAGCTATTTTCCCAGCTTCCCTGCTCTTTTTCACAATCCCCTTTTCTTTATTGCTGCCATCTCCGATCACATCACTGCACAGCTCAAAAGCTGCCAGTGACTCATGGTCTCCCCTGAATTGGATTAAAATGCCCTTGCCTGTCCTTGTTTTCCTCCTTTCTGTCCTAATCCATTCCCGCGGTGGCTTCTACTCTGGCATTCACGTTCCCCAAACATATTCTGTTTCTTCCCACTCATGCCTTTGTGTATCTACTACTCTTCCCACTATCATTTCCCATTAAAATATGAAACAGGCTGCTAGGCCCATCCCAAATATCACTTCCTTTCGACATTTTTCTCCAATCTCCTTAAGCTGTGACTCTGCCTGCGGCTCCACAGAGGGCCCCCATACCTCATTGTTTAGAAATTGCATCTGGAGACAAAAAAAATTCGGGATGGAATCCCAGCTTTGCCTAGACAAGTGAGGTCCTCTTGTACTCAAAGTCTCAGTGTCTTGCTCTGTACAACAGAGATAATAATAGTACCTATTTCCTGGGCACATTGGAAGGACTGATAAGAACCTGAACTTCTAGTGCATATGCTCCTTTATCTTATTTAGTTTTGAACCCTTCGCCCAGACACTCAGTAAGTACTGGTGTGATGAGTAGAGAAGCTAAACCAGCAACACCTTGACCTTAAGTAACCTAAGGTCAAACCAATGTGATATCTGGTTTTTCTGTGCTCAGGGGTCTGGGTGGGGTCAGCTTAGGACACAGATGAGAACAGGTGAAGAGTTTCCACCTATTTTATCAGGTCAGTAAAAATGAAATAAGAGTCTTTTAAAAAAAATATGATGCCTGTTTTTTTTTTTTTTAAAGATTTATTTATTTATGCACACAAGAACTGGGGTACAGGCCAGAGGTGCGGGGAGTGAGAGAATTCACCAGAGACAGAGTGGGGAGCAGAACAGGTGGACTGACTGAAATACACTGCTGAGGGGAGCAGCAGGCAAGATAGGAGAGGTCTGCTGCGCCATGTGGATAGCTCCCTGGCTGGCTGAGGATCAAACTTGTGCTGCAGAGGCTGCGGAAAGCTTCACAGTGCTGTGCTTAACCCCTTACGCCATCAGGGAGGCCTGAAACAAAGTCTTAACAAATGGGCACAACCCCTTGATGTAGGCATTGCCAGTCACCAGTACCTTATGGATCAAAACTGGAAAGATTCCTCCCAAAGCCTTTATCTGGGGCTGTCACCCCCATGCTCAAAGAAGACCTGCCTGGACATAGAAAGGTGGAAAAAGGCAGGACATCTCAGGGCAGGTATATTCCCCTCAGAGCCCCAGTGAAAAATATCTGTGCAAACTCAGATGCTGCTGGAGGAGTGAAAATTGATACACTCCACTGCAGAGAGCATTTGGCAGTATTTATTAGATATGAAGAGGCAGTTGCACTTCAGGCCCCCACCCCAGAAAGAGGCTCTTGATAAGAAAACTCATTCATTTTGCTACATTGCTGCTGAATTGCTTGTAAGATCAGGGAATTAAAAACAACCTCAGTATCCATCAGTGATGAATGAATAAAATGTGGTACATTTGAATATTATAATACAATATAGCAAGTGCTGAGGCTACTATATATTTGTATTGCAGTATGGATTACTTTCAAAATATAATTTTGAGTGAAGACAGCAAGTTGCACGTGATGCCTTTAGGATGATACCAGTTGAGATATAAAAGTCAACTTTGCAGACATAGTGCGATATGAAGCAGAACTATATTGTTCAGGGCTACCTATTTATACATCTATGTCTGTATCTATAGATATATATTTGTGTCACATCTATAGCTATATCTATACAAGTTTTAGTGGGCAAAGAGATACATGCTAAATTCATCATTGTAGTTACTTTTGGAAAGAAGGGTTTGACCAGGAATTTAAAGAGGACTTAAATTTTAACTGTAGTGTTTTTGTGTCTTTAAATTAAAAAACTTAAAGCCTTCAGGGACAATTGTTATTTGAATTTAGGATAATGTTCAGGATATAAGAACACTGTTCTACATTTAAAACAGCCTTTTTTCTGAGAAAACAAAAATATGGCTTATGAGTCTGAGTTTGGATACATGTATGTGTGCTGGGTTGTGCTGGGTAAGGAGGCCTTGGTGAATAACCTTGATTGTGGTCCTTCAGGAATATCCACTTGCAGGCAACAGAAAGCAATCAATGGCATGGCATTTACATTTGCACAACTTGCTGAGTTTCTTAAATACCTGAGGACTTCTTTGACCCTCTGTCAAAAGCTATGTCCTCTCGATGGGATGGTGCACGTATACACATATGATCTCAGAGGGGTTGTAGCCCTCAGATTTAAAGTCTGCATTACTGCAGATTATCCAGAAGTTGACTTTTTTTGATCTTCAGAAAGCTGAGTTAGAAAAATGCACGACAGAAAGACGTGTTATATAATATATAAATACAATGCTGTCTTTGCAGAAAGACTTGGGGGGAGGAGGGAGAGGCAGAGAAGGAGAGAGAGTTGCTGAAACCCTCAAAAAATCAGCCCAGCTTCTCCAGAGCTCTCAGTTTGCATCCTGAAGTGTAATGTCAATAAGTTGGATCATTCTGGGAAACTTGAGATTTAGGAAGCCCAGCTTCTGCCAGTGTAAATGCCAGTGGCTTAGTCATCAGAATCAACTTCTGGAGCCTGGAGCAGGAAGTCTAGAGAAACCTGTTTGGTGTTGCAGGGCTGCAGTTCTCTCTGCAGGGCCCTGGAGGTGTCCTGTTTGCTGCATGGCCATCCTCTGTCGCCCCTTGCTGGAAGGCCCTAGGGTTTCACCCAGTGATCCCCCTGATAGGACAGGGCCCATGCAACCTATTTTGCCCCTGTCCTCAAGCTGGGACTGAGATGGTATTTTAAACGAACCATATTTTTAAATAAGCATTTTGGTATTTGGACTTTTGGAATGTAACTTCTAGCAAAGGAAGAGAAGCAGAATATAGTTGAAAAGTAATTCAGAAAATTTTAGGTCTGCTGCATGTTTTTCAATTGGGGGTGCGGGGGGGCGAGGGCCTGCCAGCACCGTCAGTGTGGAACTCCTCTCTGTAGGCATCCCCACTGGCAGCACTGTGGCCAGAACCCTAGAGAATGCATTAGACATTTAGAGGAAACTCAATCTCTTCCAAAGACCTAAAGTCAGATGTAGCCTTAAATATTTTATAGGAAAATATTTGCACAAAATGTGACTTGGCAATAAATCACAAGATGGTACTCATTAAGGTTACTTGCTGACAGAGACAGCTGAAATAATAATCCAGACCCAGAATTACTTTGGAATCATGAAAAATCTATCAAAATTATATATATGTGTGTATGTGAGACATAACATATGTGTATATACTTAAATACATATATACATGTATGTATATATATGTGAGACACACGTGTATAAATATATATAATCCTTAATGTTGCAAAGCTGAATTGTTTTTGGATTCAGTGAAAGGCCAGTTAACTCTGAAGTCCAGAGACGCACAGTGACATGGGGGAGCTCAGCAGAGCCCTCGCTCTGTTTATGTGGAGATAAGTATTAGCCTCCCAGACATGCAGGTGGCCAATAGATATGAAAAAATGCTCATTATCACTTATCATCAGGGAAATGCAAATCAGAACCACAATGAAGTACCACCTCACACCTGTGAGAAGGGCTCCCATCAAAACCACAAGTAACAAGTGCTGGCAAAGATGTACAGAAAAAAGAACATTCTTACACTACTGGTGGGAATGTGGACTGGTCCAGCCACTGGGGAAAGAAGTGTGCTGTTTCCTCAAAAGACTAAAAATGGATTTACCATGTGACCCAGCAATTCCACTTTTCGTTATCTAACCAAAGAGCACAAAAACCCCAATTAGAAAGGAAACCTGCGCTCCTATGTTATTGCAGCACTATTTACAATAGCCCAGATATGGAAACAACCCAAATACCCCAGAACAAATGAGTGGATCAAGGATGGATATATATATATATGAGGTATATATATCTCATGTATATATAAGTTTATGTTTTTTTGATTACTGAGTGTGTGTATATATATATATATATACTGAGTATATATGTATATGTGTGTCTATCTGTCTGTATGTGTATATATGTGTGTGTGTGTGTATATATATATAAAGATAAACTCATGCACCCTGGATGGAAGTGGATGGAATTATTCTAAGTGCAGTGAGCCAGAAGAAGAAAGCTAAATACCAAATGGTTCCACTTATGTGTGGAATCCAGAGAAACCAAACAAAGGATCAGACAAAGACAAACTATATGACCAACCCTTGAAAGCTGACCATAAATCTGAGACACTGGGGGAAGGAGAGGGGGAGAGGAGGAAACAGGGAGCGGGAGAGCACAATGGACTGTGGTGGAGGACTGTAGGCACTTTGGTGGTGGGAAAACTATGATGACCATGGGGAGATGGTTTTAAAAAAAGATATTTTTAAAAAACAAAAACAATTAGCCTCTCTGTCTCTACAGCAGTGCAATTCTACTTAAAACTGCCTCTCAACAAGTAGGGCTGGAGCTTTTAAAATTCCTGCCTATAGACAAGCCATTGTTCCCAGGCCTCCCCAGGAACCCCCTGCCGAGAGGATTTTTTTCAGTCTCCTGTCAGGGACATGCACACAGCATTCTGGTGCCACCTCTCTGGGGAAAATATTTATTCCCCACAGACACTCAACTGCAGTTTTAGGGTCCAGACAGCAGTTGTACACTCTGGGGTTTCCCTCCAGAGAGAATGTCCTGAGCACCCCAACTGCCCATGGTGACTTCTTTTTGCTTAAGGGCTCCCTTCTGTAACTTCGCTGCATGGCGATGTAAGCAGCTCCTGTGAGAGCAGTGGTTCTCAAACCTTAGCTTCAGAATCACCTGGAGGGTTTATTAAAACACTGTTAGGGGGCCTCCCTGGTGGCGCAAGGGTTAAGACGCAACCTATGAAGCAATCCGCAGCCACTGTAGCTTGAGTTAGATTCCCGGCCAGCCAGAGAGCAACCCACTTGGTGCAGCAGACCTCTCCTGTCTCGCCCACTGCTCCCCTCAGCAGTGTACTTCGGTCAACCTGCCTGTTCTGTTCCCCACTCTGTCTCTGGTGAATCCTCTCACCCCCCACACATCTGGCCTGTACCCCAGCTCTTGTATGCATAAATAACTCAATCTTAAAAAAATAATAAAATAAAACACTGTTAGGGCCCACCCCAGAGTTCCTGATTCAGTAGGTCTGGGGTGGGGCTCCAGAAGTTGCATTTCTAATATGTTCTCCGGTGATGCTGGTGCTACTGGTCCTAGAACCACACTTTTGAGGACCACTGGACTGTCCTTTTCATAAAAAGTGTCCGTAATTCCTCAGCTTGGACCAAAACCACAGCCCTCAATACAAACTCTCCTCTATAAAAACATCTCGGGCAGGGTTAGTAGAGATACAATCAGCCAGGGACAGCATCCATGTGTGTGAAATAACCCTTTCATTGTACGTTCAGCAAAACATTCCAGTCTATTCTGGAGACCACAGAGGGGCCACGGAGTCTGGAGTCCTTCCTCTGACCCCTCTCACCACCTTGCCCTTCTGGGGGTCCTCTCCCCAAAAGGGGGCCTCATTATGACCCTCAGATACCTCCCTTTGGCAGCTACCTCCCTTTGGAGAAAGAAAGACCCCCTCCTGACCCTCTCTCCTTCCCCACAACCCCTTCTTTTGGTCAGTTTCTTTTGCTGGGCCATGCATTATTCTTTTTCCATTTTGAGATTAGAAGGCTTTAAGGAAGTGGGGTATGGCACAGGGGAAAAGAGACTTTACTTCTTGTCTGCCCTCAGGATGTGTTGTGTACAAGACCAGAATGCTCACGTGGCCTGATTAACAATGCTGTGGCTAGTTCTGTAGTAGTTTGCTTAGAGTCTCCCTCTGTGATCCAGGCCTGAACTGTGTCCATTATGGGGTGGGGGGTTGGGCGTCTTGTCTTTGCACAATAATGGGCCAGTGTGCTCTCATCTCCCTGGCAACTGCCCTACTCCTCAGAGGGCAAGATTCATGCTGTGAATCTCTACTTCTAGTGCTGAGGTGGATTTCACACAGGGATTCTTGTCACCCTCAGGCCACTCCTGAGAGGCAGCAGTTACCTGCCTTCTGATGGGAGGTTACCTGCACATGAGGCGTCTTAACCCTGATTAATACTCTCTCACAGTGGTTTCCCAACCTGGCTGTCATCAGGCTCACCAGAGAAACATCTTAAAAATAATTACTCTGAAAAAATATGTATGATACAAAGCAAGGGTGCATTTCTTTTCTTTTCTTTTTTTTTTAAGATTTATTTATTTATGCATACAAGAGCAGGGGTATAGGTCATGTATGTGGGGGATGAGAGGATTTACCAGAGACAGAGTGGATGGACTGAAATACTGAGGGGAGTAGCGGGTGAGAAAGGAGAGGTCTGCTGTGTCATTTGGGTAGCTCCCTGGCTAGGGATCAAACTCGTGCTGCAGTGGCTGTGGATAGCTTCATAGGTTGCATTTTAGTTACCCTTGTGCCACCAGGGAGGTCCCATTTGTTTTCTAAATATACAACTCTTACAAATCAGCAAGAAAAATACTCATAACTCAATAGAAAGGAAAGGACAAAGGTGGCAGTTCTTACACAGAAGGAATTCTAAACACATAAATTTGTGAAAAAGCAATTGCTATCACTCATGATTAAAGTCATGAACATTTGAACACTAAATTACCATTTTCCCCTTATCAGGGAAAAACAAAGAAGTTCGACCATGTACTTCATTGTCAAGAATGTTCCACCCACATGGTTGGCAGGAGTACCTCCCCTCGAGGAATTGGATGACTGGGCATATGTTCTGAGAAATACATTGTGAAGCAATATTGTGGTCATGCGAATGTCATAAAGTGTAATTATGTAAACCCAGGTGATACATACCTAGTCTATATGGCGTAACCTATTGGGAACACAGTCATATGTGTGATCCATTTTTGGTGGAAATACCATTAAGCTATGCATGAATGTGTATGTGTTATCACCTTTTGGGATGGCACCTTGTCAATATGCATCACAACATTTCAGGCACACGCTCTTTGACCTATGCTATGGGGCCAGCTTAGTGGACTCCTAACACATGTACCAAAATGTATGAGCAGAACATTCACAGCATTGTTTGTAATGCCAAAACCCAGACACAACCTCAGTGCTTATTAATAAGCAGTTGGTTGAAAATTTATGACATGCCTACCCACTGAATCTCTCTACCACTATCAAAAAGGATGATGTTGACCTGTGATCAGAAAACAGTCTCCAAGTGTGTTGTTGGGTAAAAACAGCAAGGAGCAATAGAGGGTTCTAGTGCATTGTCATTTCTGTGAAAACAAGGGTGATAGATACATATATACATACGTGCATATTCATAAATGTGTATAGATAATTTCTGAAAGGGCTAACAAGACACAGGTAATAGGTTGCCTTTGGGCAGGAAGATTGATAGACCCACTTTAAATATATATATTTCCTTTGCATTGTCTAAATTTATTTTAACTATGAGCATGTTCTAATTTCATTTAAAATTTTTATTGGTGGGTTCCCTCCCTAAAACAACTGGATCTGAGTCTCTGATGGTAGTAGGCAGAAATTTATGTTTTTACAAAGACCTCAGAAATTTATGTTTTTACAAAGACCTCTGTTGAGAGAAATAGCTGATTCTAGGGCTAAGGTAGGGAATACATTATGGATCAGTGCAGTGTCTAAAATAATGAAGTACTCAGGAAAAAGAATAGAGGCATTTCAGGGGACACCAGTCAATCTGGAAAAGCTTCTAATGGCCAAAGTTGGAAAATTTGACCAATAAAATAAACATAATATTGGATTGTAAAACCCAGAGTATAAAATAAATATCCATGAACCCATATTGGTATCCATAAATTATTATATAGGTAAGTAAGTAAATAATAGGAAGAAACACATCTCCCTTACAAAAGAATTCCAAATAATTTTTGTGAATACTATCAATTCCATGAAGTGAAACTTAATTCCCACCTTCCCCTTGACTGGATTGTGTGTTACGATAGGCTTCCAAAGAGTATCTCATTGGAGTGAAGGAATAACTCACAGAGCAGAAGCTTAGCACACACTCCCTTAGCCAGGTGATCAAAGTGATGCCAGCAGTGATAAGTCCTGCTGACAGTCTGTGCCCTTGATATGTCATAAGAATGTACTTCACCTCTGTGATATTCCTCCCCCAAACCCATAGCCCCCGTCTCACCATGGGCAAAATATTAGATAAATCCAAATTGAGGAACATTGTGGAAAATACCTTCAAAGCTATTACAGACCATAAAAACAAACAAACAAACAAACAAAAACAAGGAAACTAAGAAACTCTCATGGTAAGGAGACTAACGAGATATGAGGAATACAAATGTAGGATCCTGAATAGGATCCCAGGACAGGAAAAGGATCTCAGTGTAAAAAGAAATGAAATCCAAATACATGATAGAGCAGTTAATAATGAAAAACAAGTACAACTCCGGGGACATTTTTATGTAGCCAGCTTGGCTCCAGGCTGCCATTAAGCACTTTAGAATCACTTCAGTAAAGTGGAGGTTCTCAAACATTGGTGTGCAGTAGAATCACACCAGTTTGTTTGCCCTGGAGATATGCCACCGTGAAAATTCTCATTAAGCGGATCCTTGGAAGGCTTTGGGACGTGCATTTAAAAAGAGGCTAGTTTATTATTATTATTGTTATTTTGCAATTGAAGTACTCTTACATGACATCCTTGTGATTCTTTTCCGTAGTCCTTTAATACCACACAATTTCATCCATCCACTCTACAGGATTCCTTCCCCTCTCCTCTGTCAGTTTTACAGAGATTACTCATTACCCTAGGTTTTTAAAAAATCATTGTTGTTATGAAACTTAAGTTGATTTGGTGTTCAGCACAAAGTTCCTTCCTCAACTGGACCTGTCTAAACTCATCACAGTTGCATGCAAGTGTACACACATGGGTTTAGCACCAAGACTTTGTCAACTTCACAAATTCCATATGCAAAAAAACACCTTTCATAAATACAGTATTAACATCCATTATATTTCCGGCAGCAGTGCCACGGAGGTAGGTGATGAGTGGAGCAAATCTTGAATGCCACCAAGCCTCTGCCTTTACAGCCTGCCACTGGCAGAGAAAGCGGGAATAGACGTTTTTAATAAGCACAAAGGGCTCAGAAATGCCACATTTTGGACACCCTGCAAAATCTGATATTCTACTCATAATTACTATGTCCATCAATAAGACGTGAATTCAACTGGAACAAGAATTTTCTAAAGATAGAAAAAAGATCATGAACTTCCATTCATTATATAATATCTCCTGCCTATTTGGAGCACTCAATAAGTTTCTTAATAGAATTCTTACCACCACTTGATATGTGATAAGTGTGAAATGAGCAAATACTGAAAATAGGGAATTAATAGGAAACCTCCTGACACTTCATCCCTTCTGATCATCCTGACCTAGTATAACCAAAACAGTCTACTTCCTATGCATCCTTACTTCCCAATTAGGTCACACTCTTTTATTTTCAATACAAGCACAATGTCAACCAAGAACTCATTTGCAGATTTAGAACCATATCAGGGCAGAGTGCAGTTCTTCCAGAGCCATCCTGTGCGTTCTCTCTTTAGCTTCTCCCTGTCCATAGTTCCCTGGGGCTGTATTTCCGGCCACCTTCCCACCAAACACACACTCCTCCTTAATGCATTCTCAGGTCTTAGCTTACTGGTCCTTTCCTCATCCAGCCTCCCTCACCAGTGAGGACCCTCCAGCGAGCCCCCACAGCACAGTCTTTCCAGTGACCCCCCTCCCTTACTTAAACCCAGAATGCCTTTCTTTGTGTTTTGTTATTATTTTTTTTTAATCCATGGTTTGTGTTTTCAAACACGCCAGTGCTATCCAAAAGAACTTTCTATGGTTTTAATCCAGCAAGTCTGTTGCCTAAGTCTCTGCTCTAATACATGGAAAACTGCTTCCTGATACCAAACATCAACAATTCATCACCTCCTTTGTAACCTTCCTTTGTAACCTATCTATTGAGTTGTGTTATTTCTCCCTATATTTATCCATTCAGCTGAGGTAGCAGGAAAGGTTAGAGGGAACTCACAGGAGAGGTGACCCTGGAAACAGCAGAGAGCAGCAGAGGGTATTTTCCTGCAGAACAGCAGAGAAAGGTCTTGTCAGCACATGGAACATGATGGACAAAGGTTCAGACGTGCGAAACAGCAAGTCAAAGTACAGGGGGCCTCCCGGTCCAGGACACTTAATGCCTAAGGAAGGTAGAGGAAGCCCAATACATAAATTTCATGGAAGGTATGGGGGAAATGGATTGGAATTTTATGTTGGAAAGCGAAAAGAAAAATTACAAAAATAATATATTGTTGTATACATTTAACAAAAGTTAGGTAATAATTGTAAGTGTGCTCTAATTTTTAGGGAAAAATGAATTTAGTGTTGACTTTGAATGTAAAATTCTACTTTTTAAAAAAGAACATGTCTTGTAGCACATTTGACAATATGTTAAAGCCCATTTTTCTCAGCTGTCTCTCTTAATCTATGGTTTTCAAATGTTTCTCTTTTGAAGATGCTGTTATTGAGGATCCAGTTTTCTCCTCATTATTAACTGATCTCTCTCTGCAAGACTAGTTATCAGTGTTTACCCATGATTCTAGCATTTCTCCAATGTCCTGTTCATCAATTTCATGAAACCCTATAATTTTTTTTTTGTGTGTTCAAAGCCAAAGATGTTTGAATAATAATTACCAGTTGAAGAAGTTCAGTATGGCTGACAGTTCAGTATGGCTGGAGTATTGGTTATGATGCAAGGAGCAATGGGAAAACCCTCATCTTTAACAGCCGGAGGCCTCAGTAAATCACTCTAGCTTGCTGACCTTCAGATTTTTC